CACTTAAACACCATGAAATGTTTAGATGCACTTGCCAGAAAATAAGACGGCAGATGCAGAAGAAAAGTAAAAGCATGAATAAAAAATCCAAAAAGGACAGATGTGGCAAAAACAAAGAGGAAATAATATTGGAGGAGTGATGAAGAGGCATCTGATGAGAGTAATAACTGAGAGGAAACTGAAGGAAGTGAGTGTGGAAGACAAGGTGGGAGGGAAGTGAAAAGAGAAAGTGTTTAATTATTTAGAATTACCCGTGTTCTCTATTTATGGACCTTTTAAGGCAACCGGTAGAAGCTAAATATGCACGTACTGTAGGCCAGCTGCTCCCCTTAGGTACAGCTCACTGGGGAAGCTTCAACCCAAGAGCCAGGGGAAAAAAGCCAAAAATGTGTTCATGTAATGATAAAAGAAATTAACAAAAGCAAAGGGTGGTAAGTGAAGTGTTACAGACAATAAAATCTGAGTGTGCGTGGATCTAACCCTAACCAATACAGGATGCAAACTAAGAAACTAAGAAACCGCTCTGTCATAAACTAAACAACTAAAAGTGTAACAAGTAGGGATGTAAGAAAATATCGATATCGCAATATATCGCAAATTTTTTTCCTGCGATATATCGATATTCAAAAGCCGTGTATCCATTTTTGGGGAATAATTTACACGCAAACATTAATGTATTTTCTAGTGATGGGTCCAGCAACACTGACGCACTGGCTAGTCAGAGCGACACCCGTGTCGGTGCATAACGTTCAGGAAGTAGTCACTTGACCAATACAGCTGCTGTGTCGCTCGTCAAGGAAGCGTTGAACTGTGTTTAAATGCAGGCGCATCCCCCTCTGTCAGCGGGATGAGTTACTGCCACAAGTATATCTTTTGAAGCAAATTATTCCACTGTTACATCAAGGATCCAGAAAGAAAATATAAGGTTATACACGAGGGATGATTTTGTTCTTTAATATCAGTAAATAAGTTATTTGTTTTTATTTCCTTGTTTCATCCTGTTCCTCTCAGTTCCTGCTTGATCCATCAGAATGTTGTTTTTAAATTATTGTTTTTAAATCATTCATACTATTTAATGCAGGTTAAACGTCACATTTGTTAAACTAAACTTACATACATTAAAAAAGAATGTCGTCAGTTCTGAGACATTATAGAGAAACGCTTGGGAATTTGGCCGTCCCGCCGGCCGTCAGAGCGGTGGGGTGGGGTGTGCAGACAGGACCAGATTGGATAAACAGCCCACCTGGACTTGACGTCAGTAGAGTCTTGCTATTAGGTATACTTGCAGTGATGTTTATAATTCAGCAGGTGTCAGTAGACCAACATGGTGACAGTGTTGACACGGTATCCATACAGTTTAGGTAATGTGTCGAAATGCCTCATGAGGCCCCATCTACCCATCTCTAGTATTTTCTTTTATTTTGGTGTGATTCAAACGCCAACCGCTAGTTGACAGCAGTGTGTAATGTTTATTTTTTTACCATTAAAATGTAAATCCCTCTATAATGGTTCAGATACCTCATGTTAAACATGTTCTGTATCATTTTGGACTGTATACAAAATGTTCCTACGATAAATTCAGTCTAAAAAATTGCTAATATCGTATGAATGAATGTATCACAATATATTGTGATGTATTGTGTGGTCTGCCTTGTATCGTGACAAGTATCGTATCACCAGAATTTCATCAATACACATCCCTAATTTCAAGACATTTTTTTTTTGTTGTTGTTTTGTTTGTTATTTTTTTCATTGAGCTGAGTTTTATGTGCACAGAAGAAAAAATTGGAGAAAAAAGCACTCAGGAGCAGATCTGTATCATTTAACTAGATGAGCTAATGGTATTACCTGTTATCTCCTGCTCCCAGACACACAAACGTGGAGCTACACGTCACATTATTGGACAACTATCACCAAAACCATTAAATACCGTCCTGACCATTACACTAATGTACACACAGAGAAAAGTGTGCACAGATAAAACCTGTAGATTTTGCAAGCACTTAATTATTTCTGCAGCAGGGTCAGGTGGACTAGTGAATCGTATTTCATTTGTACTCTTTTTTTTTTTTGCCTCAAGTGCTTCTAAATCAGGGTTGAATTAATCATTTGAACAAATATAACTAGAAATGCTTACGATATAATTTAGTCCGTACATGCTGCAGAAAACACTTCCATGGAAGAAAATGTCAAAAATTGGCTAAAAATATTCTAATGTTTTTAACAAAACAAGAAAAATGTTCTTTTTGTCTGACCCCAGTTTTTTACATATAAGCACAAAAGTCTCACTCTTCCCTGGCAGGATGAAGTCATGGGAATACTACAGCAGCACAGTTTCTAACTAAGCCATACATTTGATCGAGAGTTAAGGAAAGTTCCCTATTCTCCACCAGGCTCGGGGAATTAATCTACTCAGTGAGTCAAGGATCCACCTGCTCATGTGATGCTGATCTCCTTGAGTTGTTTCTACAACAGTCTGAGTTTCAGTCACATGGGAAAATAAGAACAACTTTTAGTCTAGCCTTTTCTGGTTGACAGCTGCTTCTCCACAGAACAAATACATCTGAGTGTTTGTTTTTTAAGGTAAAAGTGCTTATTGGGTTATTATTTTATTTTCAAATATTTCGGCAGCTTTTGCAAACTCTTACATTCATTAAAGCCTGAAAACAAAAAATAAATAAATAAGGCATTTTATTCCAATCTGGTCTTAGAGTAATGAGTAAACCAGCAACAGGGAGTTCTTGCAGAATAAGAGATAAAAGAGACTCATAACTAAGAGGGCTTTGTTTGAAAGTACAAAGGTATGCAAGTTACAAATGCATTCCCATTTTTTAAGTCAGTTTGGAACAAAATTTGATAGAAATTAGAATTAAATAGAAATATAGAAAAGATGAAAATAAACTTGTGAATATAAATTACGTGTTCGTCATTCGAACATTGGCACTGGGGCTGAACGATTTAGGAAAATAATCTAATTGCATTTTTTTTCTTTCAATATTGCATTTGCGATTTAATTCATGATTATTTTCTCAAGGGGTTTTCTTATATTTTTCAACTAACGGAAGCAAAAAAATAAAATAAAATAACCTAAGAAACTTGTACTGAATATAAACAAGTTTTTGTATCTACATATTTATCTACATATCATACCAACAAGTTTATTGGTCTAAACACTCACAAGTAAAGACAAAGTTTTGCATTTGAAGGTGCGATGCTTTGCAGCCAGGAGCACATCCCTTGAAGGAGCATAGGTATTAGCATCAACTTTGAAAATTTATTAGCAGGAAAGAAGAGTGTCCCATTTATTGAAGTCTTTTGAGTTTAGAGTTTTTGACGAATTGTCCATCCAGAGCTTCCGTAGTTTAGTTACGTTCATAGCTGCTAGCCAAAACTCTGCGGAGTTGAAGTCTCTTACAGTTTTCTAGCTTTACTAAAATACCAGTCTGTACCCATTTGACTGATGGCAGTTTTTATATTTTATTAGACTCCAAATGTAATCATTTGGCAAGTTCCTAATTCGTAATTTGTAAAAATGTAATCAGCATTAGCATCCCTATTGGTTCAACCATGTATATTAGCATTGTGCTAACCACTAGCTGCCAGTCAAATCGCAGCCGTTGCGATTAGAAAATCTCCTTTTGTCACATCGCAATTTAACTGCATATGTAATTAATCGTTCAGCCCTACTGGACACTAAAGTCAAGTTACCAAAATTGATTAAAAAGTGGGTCTGAACACTGAGTAAAGAATGGCTTATTATCCAAGTTCCAGTGACCTTCAAACAACTTGTCAGAATGATCTGGTTTTACTCATAAATGTTGATGGATTCATATCAATGTTGACTTAATGGACCTGCATGGTAATGCAGTTGATAGCACTGTTTCCTTGCAGCAAGAAGGCCACAGCCTTGAATCCCAACTGCATGGAGTTGGCGTGTACTTCCCACGCATGGGTTCTCTCCAGATACTCCTCCAGCTTCCTCCCACCAACCAAACACATGCATGATTGGGTTCATTGTTGCCTCTACATTGTCCCTGGGTGTAAGTGAGGGAGGAATGGGTGTTCATCTCAGTGTGGCCCCATGATGGACTTTTGACCAGTCCAGGGTTTTTCCTGGCTTCCTGCTTATTGAAATGGCACCAGCTTCTTGCAAACTTACTGAGGAGGAAGCGGTTAAGATATCAGATGGACAGTTTCCCAAAGGTTGCATGCATAGAGAGCACTAAAGTAGACCAAGCCCAGGACCCCGTGGAACATCATAACTATATAGAAATTTTGAATCTATAATTTAAAGCTGTGCCCAATGAGATTTTACAGTCTCTAATCATTTGTTTATTTCTTTTCTTTCTGTTTCACCCTGACAGGTTTGATTCCTTAATGGCCTCTGTGTTGCTTGTATTTGACCTTTTCATTTGGTCCAGTCAGTTATAAGAACACCCTCTCTCCATCATCACCTATACCTTGAATCGTTGGACTTTTAAACACAATCTCCAAAACATACATTTTGTGCACTAAATGGGCCTTAACTATGTCAATGTACACTTAATTTTAAACTAATTACAGTATATTATGAAAGCCTGGTGCACCACCTCTGTTAGACAAGCAGAAAAAGATAGTGAGGATGACAAAAAGAGAGAAATAAGGTAAAGCTAAGAGTGGCACATTGAGAGACTGCTTAAATCCCTGTAGAAAACAGTTCAATCACAGCAAAACTCCTCAGACCACAATGATAATTAAACATAAAAAAGCATTGCACAGTTTTGCTTTAGAACACTCGTTTGTTAAGGTAGGAAACCATTGTTCGTGATGAAAAAGACGCCAAAAGAAAAAAACATTTTCTCATAAAACTTGCCCTCTGCTCTGTTTTATATACTCCAGTTATTACTGGCTATTATCTTTAATTATAGTTCTGTGGTTCTAACCAACAGATTATACATAGCTTGTATAGGAGGAGTATGCCCTCTAAATGGATTACAAATTCTGATCAAGTTTATTCTTACCTTGTATACCTGCCCATAGGTCCCATTTCCTACCACTTCAACCAGGTCAAAGATACCAGTAGGATCCTGCAAATGCATGGGTAAAACAGCAGAATAATTAGGATTCAGACAAAATGAATGAACTAAATTAAAAGATAAAGCTGCAGTTTATGTTTTTATTCAGACACTGAAAGAAAGCATTGCTATTTTGTGAGTGTAGACCGTGTTAAAGGGGCTTAGTTCTAAACATGTTTCTGCTAAAGGTTAATATTATTTATTACTGCTGTAGACATAACCAGACCCCAAGGAAGAAAGAAATTACTTCAGAAATCTTATATGGAACATTTTATCTTATGTTCACGTGTTCCAGTTCTCCTGACAAACATCCCATCAACTGGGGTGCCTATTTAGACTTGTTTAATCGGCTGAAACACAATTTCATCAATTTTTGCTCCGTTGAGCATTAAAACTTGTTAGGGATTTTATCAATCACCTAATACCTGCAGTCGAAGAGAAAAGAGAGACAATTAACCACATGTTTACTGTATTGCAATCGGGGCAGATCTGCTCACAAAGTGAGACTCACAAAACTGCAGGTATTAGGTGATAAAATCCCTAACATAATCCGGCTCGAAGGACCAGATTTGGTGAGCAGATCTGTCCCGATTGCAACACAGTAAACGTGTGGTTAATTGTCTCTCTTTTCTCTTCGAATGCAGGTTTTGAGTTTGTGGATCTGTGTGCCTCCCAGCGACATCAAGACCTGCACACTGACCTCCCACCGAAAGCTCAGCGCTGGAGGAATTTCAGGTTGTCGTGACAGTTATCCGGCGTTGGCTCTTGGTGATGCCAGGTGACTCAGGATCCCGGCTTCGAAGGACCAGATTATGAGGCAAAATATCTCTTTTCTCTTGAACTGCAGGTATTAGGTGATTGATAAAATCCCTAACAAAACTGAATGATGATCTGGGTGTGACTAAGATATAAAAACTATTGTTTTACTCAGCAGCATGTCTTTCACTCCCTCCAGTGCTCTCCAAATGATCATACTCTGCTTTTAAATGCACTGCTGTGTTATTTTAGGCTCACTTCCCAGACTAGCTCAGAATTGAAACCCTCAATTTCTAGGTTGCCAACACAGAATTGGAAACACCTTGAAAAGACCATAAAATCATGTGACCCCCCCCCCCCCCCCCCCCATACACACACAAGCCTCCCCCTACCTCTCTGCCTGATGTTGCTACGACATTCCAACAATAGCTGGTATTCACCCTAGCTTCCCTCTCACCCTCTTTCACAATCTCTCTGCTTCACCAGCTTCTGTTTCCACAACCAAGCAAAGTCCATCTATGTCTCTCTCCTTTATCTACTCAACTATTTCACTGTTGGCTGTGGCCAGGACACGTTTCTGATGCCAACACTCTACTCATTCCAACAGTGAATGACATTCAAAGTCCCAGAAGCATTCAGAGCCCCTTCCCCTACTTCCTTCATCTTTAACATGTGTTTGCAACTGGGTCACTAATATAATCTTTGTTATTTCCTGTATCTTTTTGTATGTCATACCAGTACCCATCCTCCGTATTACTGGTGCACAACATGAACTTGTGCCACAGTTGCATTAGCATTCCTTTCACAAACCAGGCTGTTTGCTCAAACTAAAGTAACTCATTCATCCATCTATAAGATCTCTTGTGGTTAGTGTCTTGCTTCAGGTTATAAAGCTTTTTCACAGGGGCTTTCAGGCTTCTGATCTTAAGTCTTTTTTTACATCAGTGGTTGGTTTCATTTCTTCAGTATGGCTCTGAAGTACAGTCACTTCCTAACAGCTTTGAGTTTGGTTTTCTTTGACAAAAGTCGGGTAATGTTTTTATGTGTACCTGTCAATGATGCAACAAAGCAAAGGACTGCCCATGAGCCACTTGTCTGCAATGGTTATGTAGCTCTTGAATGAAGATTTACCCACAGAAATATGAATTTAATAACTAACCCAATAATTCTGTATGCAGTTTTTCTAAGATGGGATAAGGGCTTTTCCACTGCAGCAGATGTCATTGCTTTTCCACCAATATAAATAACATTATGGTGTATTTGCATTCAAATGAATGTAAAACTGTACATGCATTATATTTTAACAACAACTCCAATCTTATTAAATAAGTTGTTTTCATTTTCACTCTGCAGATGTTCAAAAACATTCTTTATCTGGGTTTATTCTTGTCACACGCCTCTCCTGTGTCTTTTTCTTTCCTCATTCTGTACTTCTTATTCATACCATGTCTGTGGATTCTCAGTTGGAGCTCACTTTGCTGGCATAACAAGAAAATCTGTGTGTGGAAAAATAAAATCTCAGAACTACAGCCAAGCAGTGACGTGCGGTCAGAGGAGGCACTGCCTCCCTTTGTCATTGTGACAAGAAGTAAAATGCCAATAATGATTTAATATAAAGTCACTGTTTCCACTGACTGGTTTATACATTAGTTTTCTATATGATTTCCTCATGTTGATGGTCAAAATTGCTGAATTAACCTGTTTCCTGATCAAATACACATGCAGGAGGGGAAACAGAGACGAGCCTGCCTCTGCACTCATGAAGCTGCCCCGCACACACCAACTGATTCAGGCAGAGCGCAAGTGCCAACTCCCTGTATCGAGTGTGTGCGGCACTGTGCCCTCTGGACACTGAGATGAGAACTGCCTTCGTTCCCATGGAGCAGCGCTGCGCACGCACACTCACACACACACACACAGAAACAGGAAGTTGGCGCATGGTCACTGGTGTCTGTCTTTATGGCCAACATTAATGTTTTTTTTCACATGCGCTGCACATGATAACGTTCTACAGTCTGTATCACTGTTTGTGACAGACAAAATCCTTCTAAGCAGCTATAAACACACTGTAAAAATGCATTGGGGGAGGCAGGCAATACCTTGCCTCACTGGTAGGGGCAGTGCTGTGCTCCATAGTCACTGGTGCAAACTGCTAACCTGGCCTGCTAGACTCGTCCTTTGTTCTACACAGAGAGCTAGTCTGGTTACTCTCAGGCAGAGAGGCACATGATGGGTCGGACCAGCCAGCTCAAAAATAACCAATCAGAAAAAAGGAAATGCAGACTGTACCACCAAAAGCGTCTGGCGATGGCACAAACATCTTCAAAAAAAAAAAAAAAAAAGAAGAAGAAGAAGAAGAAGAAGAAGAAGAAGAAGAAGAAGGGCTTTTAGTGGTTCTTGTTGTGGTTTTAAAGACATGTCCAAGTCATTTAGAACAGAGGAGAGAGCTGCAGTAAACTCCGCCTCAGACGCCATGTTTATGAGAAACTCGGCGTTGTGGTGTGTGACGTACATTGCTCAGCGCTGATTGGTTCGGTTAGAATTCTCAGGGAGGGGTTATTTGAATAGGAGAGGTCTGTGTGGTCAGGTTAGCAAACTGCCTGATCGTACACACTCAGGGCGGGGGGGTGGGGGGTGGGTGGAGCTGACAGACTAAATGAAAGATTTATGGCTCAAAACTGAAGGATTCCTTTAAACTGGATTTTCGGTCCGAACAGGAGATATTAGAGGATGATTTTTTACAGCTCATGGAGAAGTCAGATTTCTGGACTTCATAAACACATAAAAATAAGACCATACATGATTTTTAACTGTAATAAAAGAGCTATGCCAAAAACAATGAATACATTTTTAAGTCAAATTTCCCCTAATACTACATCTTATTTTACTTTTCTTGTTAGTGTATTGTTAAATAGTATGAAATTAATTAAATCATTACCAAGATGTTACAAGCTTTTAATTTGAGATCATATATTTGTAAGTCTGACTCCAGATCAGTCAGCGCCTCCCCAAACTTCACTGCACACCAAGTGGGGGATTAGATTAAATTAAAGCATGAAAACATATTTTGACACAGTATGTTTCAGGTTGAGCATAAAGAGTGCTTCAATCTTTGTCTTCTTCCTCCCATTTGTCTCTTTTTGTGAATGTGGATGTCTGATTCTGTTGGTCTTAGCAGACCTGTCAAACTGTCAGCTGATGTGAAGACCAGGCTGTGCTTTTCTTGCTTTCTTCTTCCTCTTCCTGTTTTTGCCAGCCTAATGTTGTTGTGTTCAATGCCAACCCACATGCACTTTCACATATTCTCTTTCTGGGTCTCATAAACCAGTGAAACTTGAACATTTTAAATGTGGTGCAAAAGTCCATTCATTTCAATAATTTAACTTAGTCTGAGAGTAGGGCAGTGCGATCTGATGGTATAAGCTCAGAGATCGCCCATCTGTGCCGTTTTTTCTGGACACGTCTATGAGCACACAACATTTGCTTTTATTTTCTCTCAGCCATGTCATTGTCTGCTTCTGGCGGCATGACAGAGACGAGCAGCATTTAGGATTCAGAAACCTTCTATCCTTTTTTCTTTGAAGGGGTATGCTATTAAATCGATGTGTTTTACTAGCAGAAAACGTCCAAAACATCTGAATTGTCAAAATGGAAAAAATCAATTGTGACATGATTTTCTTTCCATATCGCCCACCTCTAACTGAGAGGATCTAAAGGCTCGGGAACCCTTTGCTGGAGTTTTGGGTTTTAGATTAGAGTGTGACACTTTGAGTCTAGAATATTGAACCTTTTCACAATATTTTGATTTGGGGTTTTCATAAGCTGTAAACCATAATGATCACAATTATTACAAATAAAGGCTTCAAATATATGGCTTTGGATGTATTGTGTCAATCTCATATATTAGTTTAGCCATTTAAGTTGAATTACTAAAAAGAATGAACTTTTGCAACATGTTTTTTTTTGTTTGTTTTGTTTCACCTGCATACTCATGCTGTCTCACTTGACCACAATCTCAAAACCACACATGCACACTTGTAAATGAGGGCTACAGTTGAAAATGTATAAACAATTATAAAATTGAAAGTGTGGAGGGCAAGATGAAAACAGATGGGGTCCAGAATCCATATGGATTTCACATTTACCAAAAATCATTGCGTCCAATCAGAGAAATCACACCAACTAAGGTGCAGTGCAGATCCAGATGCGGAGCTCTGGAAAGTTTCCACTTTGAGTCTATTTTTCTTCCGGACGCC